TTGGGGATTTTTTTGTTTGTTTTTTTAAGCAAACTCTTGTTTAGAGATCTGAATAATGTATATTTGAATCAAGGCTGAGCAGGTCACTATACAGACACTGCTATCCCTTCATCCCAAAGATAATTCTTCCTTAACTCAGGATCAAATTCAGGCATACATCAAAAGCAAAAAAAAAAAAAATTTCTACTTTCCCCATGAACACCATTTGCAACATGTCCAGGCATAACAAAGTATTAAAAAGGGAATGTGACCAGAAATCTTGCTTCCTCTTAGTCACTCTTTTAACTATGTCAGTCCATCCTCCATGCTTAGGGCATTACTAGGTCTTACCATCACATTTTAGGCATTACTTCTTTAGAGAAACCCTTTGTTCCTATCAAAGCACTCAGCCAGCGTTTCTCGAGGCTTTGTGAAAGAGAGGGAAAACAGTCAGTTGTCTAAAGCACAAAGTTACACTTTGCAAGAGGTTAAAGGAGACAGTCCTTGAAAGCAAGAGGAAAATTTTCAGAACTTGAGGCAACATCACGATTCATTTCATCACGGATCTGGCAAGTCTCAAGGTGAATCAGGATAATCATATTACACTGCAGAATCCAGTCTGATGTGACTAAAGCCTGTCTGTCCTTCAGCAAAGCACTCCCTCTGAGAGAAAGGAAAAACAAAAGAATGCACAAAGGCCTCAGTATTAGCTACACTGCTGTGCAGACCTCATCACCACCCTAAAGGTGAAGTAGCACAGCACTGGGCAGGAGAGGCAGATGTGAACCCTAGAAAGAGAGGCATGCACTTGCTCAAGACATAGATGAGCAGGAATACACTAGAGCCTCTCCAGAAGTCACCTTTTTGTTCCTGGTCTGCCATCTATGGCACACAGGTACGGCCTGAGAGATGAGTTTCCTCAGAACAGATGTGCAAAAGATAACTTGAGGAGGTGTGGGCTGCTCATACCCACTCTCAGTTTTAAGCCATCTACAGGGACAGGTAGCTGCGAGTGCCTAAAGAACAGAATGAGCCACGCTGCACTCCTGGAGAAGTGCAGGGAAAACAGACTAGAAGTAACAAGGTTGCATCAAGTTACAGTATTAAAAAAAGAAATTTTCACAGTTTCAGTAGCCAAACACAGGGAGAAGCTGCGGAAGCAGATCCTCAGAGACTCAGCCCAACCCAACAAGGTCCTGAGCAGCCCAATCCAACATCAGAAATAGTCAGTCTTTGAGAATTACCAAGGCACCTGTGCAGCTCCTGACAGTCCTGGATACACAGCTACAAACTTCTCTACAATCACCTGGCCGTGCTAACACAGTGCCACAGATAACAGAGCAGATAGACTCAAGCCCAAAGGGCAACTCAGCAACTTGCTGGAGTCACTGCCAAGATTAGGTCCCAAGTCTTTTATTTCCCAACACTTCTACAAAAGAACTTTTACTGACCAAGATAAAGGGAGGACTGTTTCACATTGTAGTGCACAAGGCATAAGAAGCTCCACCAACAAATGTTTAAAACCATTGCATCTCAAGCATCCTTAATCCTCTGTCAAAAACCCCATTTTTTTATTTCTTTAGGCAATATGCAGTATGATAACTTAAAGATATAAAATTTCCATCACTCCATGATGATTTGGTTTAATATTAAGTAAGGCCAATATCATTGCAAACTCTAATAAGAGATTCCTACTACTGCTGGGAATGTATCCATATATATTGTATTTGATCAAGTCTCTTTCACTTCTGTTTTTTCCCCAAAGCTTCCTAATCCAAGCAAGTAAAATACTTCTAGTGCTACAAAGTGCCAGGCACTAGATCTGCCTCCCATCCCCTTTCTCAGGAAATACTCAGCCTTCTGAACTGAGAGAGTGCATGTACTTTTGTGGTCTAAACTATTCAAGTGGAAAAAAAAAAATGTCGCTGGGCAGGGGTATCTAGAGCAAAGTTAGAGAAAGTCAATTAACAGTAACAGAAGGAATAACTAACAGATTGTCACTGATTCAGCAGTTGAGTAGCATAATTTCTACTCATTTTCCCTAATCTACAAAACTAAATTAATTGCTAATATAGTCCTCCTGTCCTACCTATGATGAGGCCATGGCAAGCAGCTGATAACCAACCAACTCTTAACACACAGATTTGCTTAATAGCACATATTTCTGGCAGCTTCATCACTGCCTTTTCCTGCACCACCTATGGTGTAGGAAACCAGATCCACTACGTTATTTAACAAGTCTCATATCACAGTGATGGGTCATACAAGCACCAGTTAAATACATCAGGATCCTTCAGCCTGGAACAAAGATCACATAGTTCCACACTGCTTAGGATTTCTGAGACAGTGTACATAGTTGTGCAAGGCTGTTCACCACCTCCTCCAGCAAAGGAACTGGACATAAAGTAAGCAAATCCACTGAAGACCCTAAAAAACTGGTTCTTCACACAAACAGCAATTAGGCTGCAAAACTCCTTTCTCCTGGGCACTCTTGATAAAACACACCTGAAGCTATTAAATACAGACTGAATCACAATTCATAGAAACCACAACGAGCATTGCATGCAGACACTAATAGGGATTTCCTTGTGCTTACAACTTTCCCTCTTCCCCTGATGGCACTCTCCATCGTGCACAGGACAGGCGGCTTCTTTGGGCTTAGAATAAATCATCCAGTTTATCACAGATTGCCACTAAAGTTTTCCTTTGTTCTTTTAAATTAATTAAAAGCATGCATGTTTCCACAGTAATTCTACGGCAAGTGACCAATTAAGAGATTCAGGAGCCAGAAAGTGACAAGAAAGAGACAGGACCATCTCTAGCTCTATGCTCCAAATGCACAAACCTGGGAAGCACACTAAAGTTCTGCAAACTCACTGTACTCAGCACAGTCATGCTATCCTCAGAAATACAAACACCACTGTCGACAATATAACTGTTTTGATGGCAGGCACATTCGGGAAACCCAAATGTTTTTATAAATACTTTTATTAAGAGCCAGATCTGCCCATTTAATTCCTACACCCCACTGAAAAAATTGGGTGTTTTGCAGCACCGCATGCATGGCCAGGAGCTTGTCAGGAACCACTGTATAAAACTCTCAGTTGTTCTGTCATTAAGAGCTTTGTTTGACAAAATGCTCTGCAAGTCAGCCTAATAGTTTACTCAATCCTTAATCCTATTTTACAAGATCTAGATTTACCGCTATTCAATACCAGAATCCAACAGGACACCTAGTCATGTTAAATCATGTAGAACATAGAAATAGTGGGGGGAAAAAAAGTTTAAAAAAAAAAACAAAAAAAAGAAATTATATTCCTTCTTACATCCCTCACACACAGTGACTTTCCCAGACTTCTGGGACACAGGACATTGGTCACTACTACAGTCATTTTGATTTCCAGAGGACCTACTAGTGAAACACAACATAAATGTGCAACATAAAAGCTCCCAATGTCTGTGTTCAATTGGCGGGTGGTTTCAGCAGCTTTTCCAGGCCAGCAGCCTGGCTCTGCAGGATGCAGGCCTCCTCTTGCCCAGGATACTATTGCAGGCTCTCACCCAGGCCCTGGACAGAGGGTTAGTGTCACAGTTCCCAGCGAGAGGCACAAAAAAAGGGATGCTCAGACCGGCAACCTGGCACCAACCTAACGCACATTCTGCTACTTCATGCATGGCAGGTCTGCCGAACAGCTGAGCTGGCAGTTCAGGGACACCTCCAAACATGCGCCTGCAGGAAAATTCTCCAGAAAGACGAGATTCGGGAGCAGTTTATTTACAGATTACTGCAGCTAAACACTTTTGTTAGTGACAATAGCTCAGTGCATCACTCCTACGTCCTGACTGCATCTCTGGGATCCCCAACACAGGAAGGGCACTGACCTTTTGGAACGAGTCCAGAGGAGGCCACCAAGCTGATGAAGCATTTCTCCAATGAGGAAAGGCTGAGAGAATTGGAATTGTGCAGCCAGCAAAAGAGAAGGCTTAGGGGTGACCTAATGGCAGCCTTACAGTACCTGAAGGGAACTTACAGGAAAGATAAGCTAGACCACTTACATGTAGTGACAGGTCAAAGGGAAACACGTTCATGCTAGGAGTAGGTTTAGATTAGATGTTAGGAATACATTCTTTATTGTAAGGGTGGTGAGGCACTGGAACAGGCTAGCCAGTGAAGTTGTGGTTGTCCCATCCCTAGAAGTGTTCAAAGCCAGGTCGGATGCAGCTCTAAGCAACCTGAACAGGTGGACGGAGTCCCTACCCACGGCAGGAACCAGATGATGCTTAAGGTCCCTTCCAGCCCCAACCCTTCTATGACTCCGTGACTCTCGCACGCTGTCCCCGGCTGCGCCCCAGGGGCCCGGCTGGCCCGGCCGCCGCCGCCGCTCCCGGGAGAGCCCGCGGGGGCAGCGCTGCCGCCCGAGGCGCCGCAGAGCCCGGCGGGTACCGGCTCCGGACGGGCCGGCCCGGCCGCACCAGGCCAGCGGAGAGGCCTCCCCGCATCGCCCCGGCCCGGGAGGCCTCGCCGAGCCCCGGCTCCGCCCGCGCCTCCGCCGGAAGGGAAGCGGAGCCGCCCCGGCCGAGGGGAGGGGAGAGCGGCGCGGGGGAGGGGACACCGCCCGCCCCGGCGCCCCCGGAGGCGGGCGGGAGGCAGCTCCGCGCGGTGGTACCTGCGCTGGAAGTCGGTCCGGAAGGGCGCCAGGTAAGGGTCCCGTTCCAGCAGCTGCTGCAGCTTCGGCGGCTCGGTGCTGGCGGCGGCCATGTCGCCGCCGCGGGCTCCGCTTGCTGCGCGCCGCCGCTAAATACAGCGGGGAGGGGGCCGGGCGGGCGGCCGGGCGCCCCTGCCTCTCCCCGCCCACCGCCCGGGGCCGCCTCCGCCGCCTCTCCCCGCCCGCGGTGCGGCGGGGCCGGGGCGCCGCGGCTGCGGGAGGGGAGCCGGGGTTGCCCGGCCCGACCTGACCCGGCCCGGCCTCCCCCCGGCGATGCGCTCGGTCCGGCAGCCCCGCTCTCCGAGCGGTGTGGGGTGTTAGCAGAGGAAATAAAAAATAAAAACTTGCGACAAAAGAAAAAGCATCTGCGGGAGCCGACCCGCCCCGCAGGAGGGGGATGTCTGCCTGTCGTGGCTCGGCGGTACTCTCAGTTTGTTTTCTTAGTGGCTCTTTGATGTCTTTTTCAGCGTGTCAGTTGTCGGGTGAACGCTGTGTTCCCACACACGTAAAGCCCACTGCACATCCCAGCCAACATCAACACCCCTTCCAAAGCAGATTTGGCATCATCAGGAGTGCTGGAGTAAATTTCTCGACTGTTTGATAGGGTGCTGGCGTGCTCACAGACAGCTCAGCAAAACAAGACTCTGGGGACGTCCGTGAGTTCTCATAAACACCGTGTCTGTGCAGCAAAACGTTGCTTTATCAGACACATAAATTCCAAACGTGGTAAGATTAGTTCAACCGATCCTAGTGCAGCTAGAAATGCTGAAAACACAGGTAAATTGCTGTGGAAGTTTTTGAGCTAATATCAACGCGTCTCGGTTTTGGATAGGCCACCAAATATCCAAGGCAACTACTAATCACCAGCCTGACCATGCCTCTAGGCCAGCATTGAGCACTTTTATTTAAGGTCCAGCAATTTTGCTTTGTTTTGATATGCAGTGAGAAAGTTTATTTAGAGGCCTCTTTTGAATGCGTTTCAGCCACAGTTTATAAACTTGTCAGTTTTGAGATACCTTGACACGTTCCCACAACCATCTCCAAAATTGTTGTCCTCAGTTTGAGACTCATCCCCCCTATCTTGGCTTCCTCTGAATTGAAGTGCTGTTTCTCCTTTCTGTCTGCCAGATGACTAACAGCACCGTGTGTGATGAACACTAACAGTTCATTTATTACTTCTTCCAAAACTGACTACAGTGAAAGTTTCCGTAATGATTTGTTTCATCAACAGTGCATGTACACTTAACTAAACTGTATTTCCTTCCCTGTAGAAGTTTCTAGCTACACAGACAAAAGTCCAAGTACCTTTGTTCTTTTTCTCCTTATGGAGTGCAACAAATATTCTGTCCTAAGACTGTAGGGCAATAGTCATACTGTTTGCTAGAGCAGTTGCCTAATAGGAGGCCCAAGGAGTTTTGGTTTGGTTATTGAAAGAAGCAGCATCTATGCTGTAGCAGAACTATTCATCATATCCTGCTCTGATAGATCAAGATTTCTTTTTTTCACAGTGGCCACAATTTCTTCAGTCACTGGAGACTGAAAAACTGTTTTTAAAATTACCTGGACTTCTCAAAACTTTCTGTGTGGCGGTGATTTCAGTGCCTGTGCTAAACCAAAGTTTAGCAGCTCTTACCATCTTCTTTTTACTTCTTTCCTCATACTGTGTGCATTGTAATTCTTCTGCAAATGCTTCGCCCTCACTCTCACACTTAACTAGACTGGTCAACTAAAAGGGGAAGAGAAATTCCAGCTTATTATCCAGAGCCAGGATTTTTTATTTTTTTTTTTTACAGTAGTTGCATGTTACACGTGCTGCTGCTTTGGGGCTTGCAGGTGTTTGGCACTGGAGAGGGCACCTGCTGTTTGAAGTGGAGGTGGGAGAGCAATTCCTGCAGCCTTTGAATCATGAGCATTGGAAACAGGAGCTTCAGTCTTAGCACAGTTTCTTTGGTTTTACTCATTGTCAGGAAGCCCAAGCAAGTTCACAGCGTTGTTACTAGCTCTTCAGCATAAACACAAGAGAGACATCTAAAAATGAGCATTAGCAATTTGTGTAGGAATGTAGCTGTGACTTGCACCTCCCTGGAGACAGGCACCCCTTCATAACATTCATTTTAAGTAGAAATGACACAGCATTCAGCCTCATACAGAAGCAAGCTTGAACTTCAGGAAGTTAAATTCTGCAGATAGCCCCTGTCCTTTTAACAGACAGCCCCAGTGATATATTTAACACTCTGTGAACCAGGATATGAATAAGCATATCATTTGTATCTACTCATGTTTCATTTTACAACTTGGACGTGATTTTGCCTGCCTGCTTTGTCACAAGTAACTGCAAGATACGAAGGCATATGTTATTTTGATCACTGATTACACCATGATCCTGGTGTTCCCACAATGAGCCGAGGTTGGCTCTCAGGACACTGTCATTTAATCCCCTACCTGGAGGCAAAACTGGCAGTTCAGACAATGGATATTGTCCCAACAGCTGAATGTGTCTTTGTGCATTTGTCAGGGATGGATACAAAGCTGCCAGCTGCTGCTGCCCGTAGAAGCAGAAAGAGGATGACTATTGGGAATAACTGCTCTTTTATGGGGACAGCAGTAGATTATATAAGAATGGTGTCTAAGGCATGTGTCTGGCACCCAGTTACCAGTGAGGCTGGAGTGTATCAAGTAGTCCAAAGTAGTCTTTCAAAGGATGTTAATACTTAAATTATGTATACTTTAAAATTTTGCTGTAGTGCTGAGCAGTAACTGTATAGTTACATTTATAAAATCGATTTAGATGGGGTTTTTTTCATATGCGAAGTTCAAAGATAAACTAAAATTTTGAAGAGAAAAATGGCTACTCCTGTCATGCAGCACCTCCATTTTGATTCACTAATACATTGCACTTACTTTGCAAAAGATGACAAAGATGATAGACCATAGGAGCTAAGTTAGGAAGAAATCTTTTTCTTCATTAAGGCACTGGTTCAGATTCTCCCTCATCAACAGTTTATTTTCTTATTTCAGCCAGAATGGATCTGTGAGGTCTGGCCTTGATTGGCTCTTACAGAGCAAATTCCTGAGCTCCAGGTTCTTCTAAACCAAGTGGCTCAGAGCAGGCCTGGGCCCTAGTCCTGGCCCGGTTCTGTAAGATGCTTCCAGGCCTGTCTGAGTCGTCTTTGGGGTACAGGCTTCTGCTCTGCAGCTAATATAGAGATTGCCCAATCCCAGTTTAACCTGTCTGAGAAGAGATGGCAGGTACCAAAGGCAGCAGGATATTTTTTTTAACCCTATGGTGAGAACGTTTAAGACTTGCTGATCTCCGAAAGTGACAAGTCACAAGGCATGTCCTTTTTAGGGTTCAATTCAACGCTTGAAGGCTATATTGAGACTTGTTATAATTTTAATCTGGGCAGAAATCCTCCCAACTCCTTTTCCTGAAAGTCTTTCTACATCTAGGTATGGTTGGCCCACTGGGCTTGCTTTCATGTGGGGCAATGTATTTTAATTGCCATTGCACCTACCCGTGGCTTAAAGGTCCATGAGCAAGAACTGACAACCTGTGACTTGTGCCTGTACTGGATCTCATCATGCAACCTATGAAGAAAAGGTGTTCCTGTGGACAGAGGCAGCTGTTCAAAAAGATTTGTGCTTCAGTATTCCAGAAGATTGGAGGCTCCCCTATCCTTTATAGACATTTCAGACGTCTGAGCAAGTTACAGTACCCATTGCATCCTCCCTCTTTTGGACTGGTTTCTTCACATTCAGTACCTAAATCAAAATGGAGTTCAAAGTTTGAATGAAAATTAGCATATTTTGCCACATTGGCTGGCCAAACTTCCCCATGTTATTTGTTCAAGGATCCATAAGAAATTAACTGTACAGTTGTCATCCAGATCCAAAGCAACTGCCCCCCGTTAAAAAACAATTATTCTTTCTCTCGGTAGTCTTCCCAGAGAGGTCAAACATTGGGCATGGAACTGTAGCTCACTGCAGGGTGGTTGTAGTAGGTGACCTTTAAAGGTCCATTCCAACACAAGCTAGTCTATGATCTCATGACACATATCCCTATTTTTGGATTTGCCAAGGTGAGACACATAGGAGATAGGAAATGGTTAGTGTTGCACAGCTGCTGCCAAACATCACTTCATTATTCCATAATTAAAACTGTACTACAGCCAGGATTCAACTGTTTAATTACATATGAAGAACAAAGCATATATCCTTGAATATTGCAGCAAACATTCCAAGTATCTCTCGGTATACCTATTAGTTTAGAGGTTTCAGAATTTTAAGTTTGTGATTTATAAAAAATGTAGGGTATTGATACCATCTTTTAAGGTATCACCTTTGCCCTGTCATGGTTTCAGGAGCTTTACATAACAACACATCTTCAAAGATCAAAACAAATATACAATCCGAAACACTAAAAAGTCAGTTTCAGGCTTGTAAGATTCCAGTAAGCACAGTTGATGGGAATGTCATTTTCACTTACCATTCAGAGCAAGATAAAAACATATTCCAACAACCTGAATGTCCTAAATAATGATTGCTTCTTGCTTTTACAGTATTGCAGTGTGATTATGCTTTGGTGTCCTTATTTTGTAGCATAGAATATAAAAAAATGTAAATATCCTTCAAAGTTGTTTACAAATTAATCAAGACACTTCAAAGTGTCCAATATTAAAAAATCCACAGATGTAGAACAATATTTGTTGTGAAAATGTCTATGAGCCTTACTAAAAATCAAGTAAGAATATGTGAAACAGTTCACAGATACAAAACACAAATAAAAACTTCAGGAATTTCATAATATTTGTGGATGTTTTAGATACTCTGTTGGTTGTATGCCCTCTATATTTCTCAAAAGTAATTACTTGTTACTGCCAATAGGAACAACTTTCTACAACTTACTGCAATTTCCTGGTGTTTGCATATGTGGTTATGCATTGGAGGAAGAACATAAAACATTCTGGAGTCTCTCCTTAATGCTGTAACACAATACTTTGTAGCTGTCACATCTGTTTTACCAATGTATGTTTGTCTCCAACACTTAAAATATAAGTAGCTTGAGCTCTCTGGGATAGTTTTCCCAGAGGAATATTTTTGCTGTTATTATAGTGGTTCCTGTAACAATGTATTGCTATTAAACAAGCAACTTATTAACGCTTGCCAAACATTGTATTCCTTATATTCAGTACACTTAGAACTGAGAATGAAACCCCACAGCATGAGCAGCAATTTTGCTTTCAGGCTGTTCATTGTCTGGTCTTCCCTAAAACCACTGAGGAATGATCTTACCTTGGGCATTTCTTGGTTGCATAGTCCCACTGTCCTCCCTGAAACACCACAGGCACTTCGACTTCCTGGCCTTTTACTCAGAAAAGAAAGTGAGGTTGCCAGATAATCGTTCAGAGGGTAACACATCTAATCCTTCGAGAGATCAAGTAAGGTGAGAAGAAAGGAGGAGATGCACACTGCTAATGCTCTGACAGCTCTGTCAATATAAATTCATTAGTATGTATAGAACTATTTTAGTTTTCAAAAAGGAGAAATGTACCTCAGTTGTATTCATGAGTTCAAGTCTATCCCGAGTTCACCACAGGAAAAGCAGATGGATCTGATGCAAACTGTGTGAAATGCAGAACTTTTGGAAGTCCAAAATGCTTTTCACAGACAGCCTTTTAGATCTTGTCGCTATTAGTTCTGGTTTACTTTTTAATGGCAGTCAGTGACATTTGACCCAATTGATTCTCAGGTGCGACCAACAGTGTGTTGAATGAACAGAAAGATGGGGCAGGGACCAGATCCTTAGTGCTACACTCAGAATTTTGCTGTAGTTAGAATAAAATACCAAATACAGAACTGAGAACTTGTTAGTCCAATTAATATATTTAACACTATGATTTTTCAAAACACTGGATAAATTTGGGGGGAGAAAAACCAAACAAAACCCAACACCCTCATTAATAATGTGTATATTGCATATATATACATGTATGCAATGCATGCTTTTTGTACAAAAAATGCTTTAGCACACAAAAGGGTCTGAGAGTATAATTATGTATTTTTTGTCTTAGAATATCCCCAGTACTATAACTGAAGGCACAGCCTTCATAATCCCAGTGATCCAGAGCTACACTTACAGGTGTGCAATCCATTGCCATAGGTGATTGTATTGTATGCAATACAATTTTCCGTAGAAAATTTTGTATGCCTTGGTGATTCTCCTTTTCTTCTTAGAACAGTCAAAACTCTATATTTCTAAAAATACAGAAATCTTCATCCAAGACAAATATATACATAGACATTTTTGTTGGGAACATCAGTATTCAAGGATTAGGAAAACTAATTTATCTTCACATAGGGTTTTTTTTTTCTTGCTTTGAGATAAATCCTTTAGGTTGGATCCTTTTTCACTTATTAGAAAGGTTTATATCATGCTCGTTTTTAAAAGCAGCCATGACATTTCAATTAAAAGAAAAGTGGTGTGACTTTCACTTTTTCCATATGTATGCAGCTTAACAAAATTATGCAGTAAACTAAGTGATGCACAGCTTCCAGTATGAGTGCATTTGGAAGGGATTGCTTAAACTGTGTTATCTGTGGGAAATAAAAGGAGCAAATATAATTAATAGTTATGTTAGTTACCCAGGCACCCAGCACCTCCTTCAGTATGAGTTTCTGAGGATTATTGCCTCCATTTCTGTTTCCTGATAATTTTATGCTGAAGTATATACTAATAAAACAACTACTTCATTGCTACTTAGTATGAAAATTTACCTTATATTATTAGATAACTTTTTTTAGGTAACAGGGGTTTTTTTGCAACAAACAGCTAAATATTTATATTTTAATCCAAATAACAATCTTTACTGGTAATATATTAATTGCAATCATGTATTATATGGGTAAATTTTGGTTTTCCAAGTTAATGCAGTCCCAGTTCCGTTAGAATAGTTTAAGTGCTGATGACTCTCAGTCAGTTTTCCTCAGTTTCAAACACCCTTCCTTTCTGATGTCTCTGATCTTTCTGTTTATCTCTCAAAATTCTGTCTGGATGCTGTATTCCATTACCTAATCCTACTCAAAAAATGGTTAACATTGGTGCCCAATCTCATTTTACCTTAAGCAACCCTTGGTGCAGGTTTCCTAATGCTTGTGCCATCAGCCCCTATTACACATCATCAGTCATCCTGCTCACAGCAGTTCTGATTTCTCCTGCTTGAATATGCAGCTTCTTTGTTTCTTTCTGCATTATATTATCTTCTCAGGCAGTATCCAGACTCTTCATTTTCTCATAGTTCCACCAGGAAGGCAGGCTAGCCCAAGTGGGTAGGTTCACCCTGGTGTCTGTAAAAGTGGGGCATAAGCAATTAGTTGTTTTTTTTCTTTATGCCAGTCTTCAGTTAGTGATCTGCTGGTTCCAGGATGACTTCCCCAGTTTTCTTATGTTATTTCCATGAGTGTTTGTTCTAAGTCTATTTCCTTACTACACTATTTCTTATCATTGCATATGTGCATGGACTGCTTTTCTGCTTCTTTTCACTTCCTCATCCCTCTTTTGCCACTTTTACCAGAGAAGAATATGAGAGTGAATGCTGATAAAAAAGAGCAGTTTTTATAGCATCTGAGTCATGCACTCTGATGGACTTTTTCTTGCTTGCTATTATTAAGTATCCCCTAGATCTCTCCTTCCCTCATATGGGTTGCCTGCTCTTTCTGTACTGTTCCAGTGTCTACAGGCCTTAAAACTAAATAAATTTCTTTGTCCAGGACATCCACTACAGGTCTTAAAATAAACCTTGGTCATAGTTCAAGCCTTGCTTGTCTCTACATAACCTTTGAACAGAGACTGACAGCTTTTCCTGGTCCTAATATATCTCTGCTTTCTTTTGGCTTGTAATCCATCTCCAGATGATACAGTATTTCAAATTTTATGTCTCTTTTTCAAGCTCATACATTGTTACATATCCATCACAGCTGGCAGTTGCTGCTGCAGAAACAGCTGGGTTGCAATGGTCTGCCTCTCCAAGGCTTAGTCCCTGCTGAACGTGTTCCCTCAGCCCAGCCATTTCTTCTATGAAAGGAGAGGCAGACAGGTATTTCTAGGAGCAGAATGGACATGTGTAGTAAGAGGTTGGATTTGGTTTTCTCCTTCCTTGACTCCCCTATAAGTCTACCTGATTTTCTCCTTTACAGGTAAAGCCATAACAAAACCAGCTGGGTAAAGGGACAGAGGTAGAGATCTCTGATCACACAGGACTGTGATCAGAGGCTTTTAAAGTAAATATAAGCAGACTTGTTGCTTCCATTCAGTATCCACCTATCATCAGCTTGCTCTGACTCCCATCTCTTTTCTCCTCTTTCTCTCAGATTTTCAACATAGTTTCCCCATCCTTCACAAAACCTGCCACTTACCATGGCAAAGTTTGGCTGGAGTGAGTCACAGCCAGACCATAAATTGATGTAACTACTGTTTCTCTGCTTTCCTTCGATTCTTAGCGGTCCCGAAGTACCTGGGTTGCCCAAAATTCTTTTATTTTATAGTAAATGAGATAATTGCCAGAAAACAGGACTGTACAACTGCTGCATTCATTCCTGTGTTCTGTGATGACTGTAGGCTTCCTCCTACAAAAGTTTTTTCAGAGGCTTGGTTATTCAGCAACCCAACTAGAAGGATTCACAGACAGGTTTGCCCACGTTTTCCACTGGTTTGTTACACTGAAAATCTTCTTTGTTACACCTTATACGCACTGCTAAGAATTTACTGTTAGCCCAGTAAATATTCCAACGGTATAATTTATCTGAGTAATGCAGAAAAGCCTCATTTTTCTGATGTTCTGGTCACCTTTCTAGTGTGCCTCTAAGTCCTGAGCTTGGCAGTCTTCCTGATGCAGACAAGAAATGCTTTTTAAGTCATCACAAGAGGCCTTCACAAGAAGAACAGTGATGCTTATGTTGGAGAATTCTAATTCCTCAGCTTTGGGTAAGTTTGTTTTTATTTTTAAACCTTACAACATCTGCTTCCCTCTTACCTATTCCCACCTAGTTTGAATATTGTGCAATATCTCTCCTCCTGGGCTCTCAGATTTCTACCATCCTCTTCAATTTTATTCCTCTATCACTCAACCATTTACTTTACGAAAATCAGTAGTTTCAGCAATATAAAACTGTAATTCCTTAGTGGAGAATCCAGGAGGTAGGTTAGAGACAGGTTGATTTTTCAAAATCACAGTAGTTTTGCTGAAGTGCACAGTCAGCAGAGCTATATGAAACTGGAGGTCATTGCTTTGTTAAGTTCAAATTTGTCATTGAGCTTCTCAAAAATGGAAGATATTGTGAATGTTTATACTGTTAAAAGGCCTGTTTTACAGCCTGCCAGCAATTCAGTAGTTTGTTAATATAGAACATAAAAAAACTTAAGCCAAATATCTCTTGTAATTTATTCTGCTTTTGTGGTATTTACCAAATTTATGTTAAAATCCCAACAGATCTTATGAAAAATACTTATATTCATGGTTTTTGGGGCCATGAGCAAATCAGCTCTTTGTGCACTAGTCTTATGTTAGCCAACTGTTGATAAATATGCTGTAGAAATACTTAAGTATTCAAAATGCTCTCTCCTGATAAAAAATTTGAATTTGAAAAAAAAAAATTTGAAATATGAAGAATTGTGAGATAAATGAGAACACATGGACCCGTAGTTATTCTGAGTCCCTGGAACTCATCTGCCATTTACTTTGTTCTATCCCAGAAACTCATAACAGAGTGTTCCAGGCAAAATTATCATTACAGATTTATATTATTATAGGTTGTTATATATCTTATTATAGATATATTATAATATATTGTTATATACTATATAATATGATTTTTGCAAACATTATTATATTTATATTTTGTTATATATTTTTACTTTAAGACCAACATTCTATAAATTCATCTTTTTTTTCAAAAGTTCACTGCCTTTGGTCAGTCAGGGTGATAGTAGTGAAGTAGTAGCCATAATAGTACTCTCTAGTAAGAATAGTACACTATAAAGTAGGAATATTTTCAAAAGTCTTTCATGTTTTACCCTGATTAAAGCTTAGTCTCATAAAGCACACTGAGTCCTCTCCTGATATTTTTCTTGTTGTGATTATCTGGTTCTTTCACTGTCTATGGGGTTAAGGAATTAACTTGTGCATATAAAGAGATTTCTTCATTCATAAGATAATTGTCCACACTGTTAGAATTATTTATTCTATTTCCTCCTTCTGCTGTTTCAGGTGCACACCGTTAAAATACTGAATTACTCTTAAAATTCATGAATTATCTGTTGCTTCCTAACCTAAGCACTCCTGCAGCTGTCTCTTCAGCAATTCCTGTGTTGTCATCTGATTCTACACCTGCTCAAGGAACACTTACAAAGGGAGCTGAGTCATCTTCTAAATCTGGACCATCATCTTCTGAACACAAAACCTTCCTCTGCAGGACTTAAGGGCAAGTATTAACTGTGTCATTTTGCATAGGATGTTTTAGCTTCTCTTACTTTAAATTACTTGTGTGTCTAACTGAAAAGCACATAATTTAGCTGTATCCACCAAAATTTTATTTGTGTCATTTGTGTTACATAGTGCCAAATACTTATTTATCTTCTTACTTCTGTGTCCTATTTCCTTCTTTTTTTTAATTAATCGTCATTTCAAAATAGACTCACATCTTCACTGGATTGTTTTTGTACATGCATGTAATTTCTGTGAACTGTGGCTACTTTGCTGTCATTCAGGAACCTTTGAGTCTCAAGGAACATAACCTCCTCTATAATCAAATTGTTATTCCAGTTATTCATAACATTAAGAGACACTCACTGTGAATATCAGTCTGACTTAAGTCATCTGATATACTTAGTATTTAAAAGGGCTGATGAATGAGGACATGTGTTAGACACTGTAAAAGTGAAGAAAAAGAAAGATTAATTGTCTATGTCTTATTATTTTCGTAGCACTATAAAATATCATACACATTCTTTGAATTTTTAAATGGATGGACTTGTTTCCTGACTTGTCTCTGTGCTTGCCAAAAATGTGTGCTCTTGTAGTTTGAAACCACTCTAGCACTACTACAAGTGATTAATACTAGGATTGCTTTCAGGTTTATGTCCAAGTTGCTGGGTTACTTGCAGTTCTGAATAAGATTTACATGAAGACTTGTGAAGAGCTGGGTATCTGAGTTGTATTACATTGCTCAAAATAAAGCTTTTCAGCTGACTTCTTCAGTATAATTCTTTTTATATTTTAGGAATGTTTATGCTAGCTCTGTTTTTATAAATACTGTCTTTATTAAATCTGCAATATCCCAAAGTAATATTTTTTGGTTTTAAGGTTTATTTTCTTGATTTATGTGCTAGCATGTTTATCTTATCCCTCTCTCTAGTCTAGTTCTTTTTTGATTTAACATTGATTTTTTTCCCTTTGTTTTACAGTAAGTCATGTGGCATTGACATCCCTAAGAAATTTAAAGTTACATGGAAGAAAATGAAACAACATATCGATGGATGAGATAGACATGATGGTTTCTCCAGGCTGTCATTGCATGTTGATGAAGGGACAACATTGTGAAATATGAGATGCAAGTGTCATCAAAATATTACCCTAGTTTTCCAAGGAGTTGCACAAGGAGCAACTTTTCTGCAAAAAGAAGGCTTGATTGTTCATAACTGTAAAAACAAAAACTAGCACTGCCAGCAACAGAAAAATATGCCATATGTTTCCTGGTTTATTTTAATTTCCTTTCTATTCCATGAAGTATAGGTATTTTTATTAATGAAAATTTTAAAAAGCAAACTATTACCCCTTGTCTCTGTTTTTCATAAATCTAGAAATGTTTTGCAAATATAGCTTGAAACAGTCAAATGTCTCGCCTTGTTTTTTTCATTTTTAGAATAAACTGAAGTATTTCAGCTTTTGGTGTCTGTCCTGCTTCATGATTTCATTTTTTATATCAGGGTTCAGTTTTCCATAAACATCAAAACTTTTCAATACTGAGGAACTGAAGTGGCTTCTGTTGTATTTCTGTACTAAATTAAATTAATTTTATAACCTATTCAGTACTCAGAAACATGAAAACAAGCTTTCTCTGAGTTTAAATTGGGTACTTTATGCCTTTAAGGTTAATATATTTTACATAGTGCTTTGCATATTAACTGAAGGAGGTTTGATTCTTTTTATTCTTTTCATTCCTTAAAAAAAAAAAGCTTTTGGCATTGTGTATTATCTCTATTAATAAAAAGTATAAAATCTTCTCTATTAACTTTCCATTATGTTAGAGAAGATTCAACAAAGCCTTTAATTTCTTTTGTCTTACATTGTAAACCAGGACAGTTAAGGGAAAAAAAAACCCTTTCATGGTATCTGCTTGTAAATACAGTACTGTCATTCATCATTAGAGATAACATGCAGGGGTTATAGCTGGGTGAGCAATTTAAAAATCAAAAGCAGCACCCTCAGAGGGTAGCCACGTTTGGAGGGAGCAGTACATAAAAGTTACCCCTCAAGAACATATCGTTCTGAAGGGCAACCAAATATAATTATTTCATGTGGTGCTACATAATTGAGATGACTTGGAATTCCCCCTCTTGTAGCACTTCTGATTTGTCTCTGAAGTTTGCCAGGGTAAGGTTAAACCTCCTCCTATCACGGGTTAGGAAGTACTTCTGGTACTAAGAATAGCTCATTAAAGGTGGATGGAATGTCTCTTTTTATCATGTACATATTAATTTCCATAACTCTCAGTCAATGTGTCTGCTGGCAGAATGACATAACTTGCTGCTGTATCAATGAAAACTGAGTTTCTCATTGGTTAAAACTAGATCCAATGAAGTAAAAACATGGGAAATGGAACAAGATTTTTTTAAAAATATACATTTCTGTTCTAAACAAGTCAGTACCTATTTCATTTTAGACGGAATTTGAATTGAACATAGGACTATGATAATCTGGGACTAGAATTCATACCTGGAAAATTGAGTGTGTCTTGTTTCAACTGAACTTGCCTGATATTCTTATTACCTGTGGATACTTAGCACACTGCCACTGCTAGACATTTTGACATGGCTATTCAGATGCTATTTTGAGTGATTTTTCTGTAAGGCTATGATTATAGAAACTCAAAGGAACATTAAATTACTGACCATGTTATTTTATCAATTTGATGAAATATTCCCAGAAATGTTTCTAAGCATTTACTGACTGGCAGACAGCAGACTTTATATCCAGTAGCACTGTTTCCCATGGGATCAGAGCAGTTGCTGGACCTTGCCTCTGCCTAATCTCTTCATTGCAGTCTTTCTGAGTGACAGGGCTCTGCCCACGTATTACTGTAGCAGAACTCCCCTGAGACGCCCTCCTTTTAACCTGAGGAACCTACAGCATCCCAAATTCTTTATTTCTGAATAGAAATCTCCTTCTCATGAGTGTATCCCTTTAATGTCTGCCTCTCAGTGTGTCTGATTCTTCCTACTTTGAGTAGCCTACAGCTAGCAGGTTTTGATGAGCCCCAAAGAGGCACCTCTCTGTTTCTTGCCTTATTGACACAGGATGATTTGCCTCTCTGTGACAATTCTCTCTGGGTACCACACCACTGTGCAGGGACTTGTGATCTCACCAAGAGCTGTTTTACAGAAGAAAGCAAAATATTTCTCCTTCTGTATCTTGGGGGAAAGTTTATTCCCTGCAATCATGCAGGAAGCCATCCTGCCAACAGTATGCCGAGCAGTACTGCCAAGAGCCACGGGCAACCACTGTGTTTTTCACTGCTGCTCTGGAGATGCAGCCACCTGGCTGGGTTTGCCCTGAGTTTGGACTGTAAAACTTAAAATTGGAAAGCAAGGCTGCAAACTGGAGAAAGGCAAAGTAAGTCATTCCTCAGTTTACAATTCCACCACTTCTTTTTTCATAACTCTTAATGTATTCTTGAAAATATTGCCAATCACAGTCTGAGTCTCTGCTTCCTTGATAAATTTCAAGCAAATTCACCATGAATATATTAAGCAGCTGAAGTGAGATATGTGTAATATTCCTGAAGCAGTTATTCCCCCAAGTTCTAGTCAAGTCAGAGGCATTTACCCTGCTGATTAGCTTTCACTCAACACAAGGAAGGATCAAATTATGACTCTTTTACTAGCTGTTACAGAAACCTCAGCCTAGGATTATTTTAACTACTGCATCAACTAAACATGATTGTTTGTAACAGGATGATTCTTAGTATTACAGATGGCAAAAATATTTTTTTGTTCTAATTTAGCCACCCTAGGCAGCCATCTTATGTTTCTCTCTTCTCAAAGAAACATCTGTGGAAGAAAGGGGGCAGTCTGTGGCCTCAGAAGAGTTCTCAAAGCCCAGCTCATAGATAAGACAGTTTACTGTAATTCATTTCCTAATCTACTTCATACTGCTCTACAGCATTATTCATTCTTCTCACCCTTAGGACTTAATTTTTTTTTTTGCCTGCCATACCAAAAGGCAAGTCACAGACCCTATTTAATCCTGAAGAGCGGGGATGTTAATTGGGTTGAAAATGGTAATGATGCATCTAATTCTGTCTTATCTACACGGCTCATCCTGCTCTCAGGACACCTGAGTGTACCTGCATCCCAGAACAGAGGCTTGAACACGTATTTTTCTGTGTTACACTCAGCTTCTCCCTTGACCCATTATCAATGGCACATTACCCAGTGACTCAAATATGAATCCCATATTTCCTCTCATTCTGTTTCTGAGTAAGAGCAGGTACATGCTCGAAACATTTTTGATGTATATTGCCTCAGCTAAAGCATAATTAGCTTCATGAAAAAGAAGCAGGTTAACCAGCTCCACCTTAGCTGAAACCACTGTCACCTTTACATTTCAGACTTTTATTTGGTTCTTCAGCTATTTCAATTACCAGTCAAGGAGGGATTTAAGTCCACAGCATAATACTTGCAATTACTAGTAAATAGCATTTCACAGCACTAACCAGTCTGTCCTTACTACATCCATTTCAGGTAGGCAAATAAATGTTATTATCCTCATTTTACAAACACATTGATTAAGTGACTTACCTAAAGGCCACACATCAATTTCAATGTCAGTGCCAAGATTAGCACAGAGAAGCTTCTGCATTGCAGACAAGGAAAAAGGTGATTGGTATTATCAAGCCCACCCCCTTTCAGAAACAAACAATCATTTTTCAGCAGTGTAGTCAAATAGCATTTACCTTCTTCACATCCCCCATATGTTTTGTCCACCTCAAGCTGCTCCCTTTGAGCTGATAGCTCAAAATGGTTCCTAAATATGTCTTTAACATGGAAACCTTTTCTGTCTTCCTCCTGCTTTTAGCACAGGGATTGGAAAGCACTGCCTGGAGAACCTGTGAAACTCCCACAGTAGTGAGTGAGCCTATGGAGGCAGAAGGCAAGGGGAGGGAAGGGGGAAAAGGGGCTCATGCTGCTCTCCAAAGGGCAATGTGAAGATGAGTAATGATAAGAGGAAGCAGCAGAAGGAGGATTAAATAGAAATTAGGATGATCTTTTACAGTCTCATTTTAAGATATGCTTTTTGCCTCTCCAACAAAGCAAATTTTCAATTTTAAGGTTGTATACAACAGGTACAATTTTCTTTTGTACTGCTGTTGTAGCTACTGTTTGGAAATTGTAGTAATTGAATTGGTAAGACTGGAAGCTGAGTCTTCAGCTCTAAAACACAGTAGCATCTCTAGTCCTCAGTCTGTTGAGCTATTGGGAAAATTTCTCTATTTTAAAGACCCTTCTTTTGAACTTGGAAGGAGTTTTGGATTTGAACTCTGTTGTCTGGTTTAGACAGACAGACTGTGTCTGTTCAACACCTAGCTGATGAGTGCAGACCTTACTGCCTGCATGAAGCTATAACAAATAATATCACAACGTGCAACTGTTAAACATTTCTAAGTGTCTAACTGCAAAAATCTGCTTTTCTTACAGACAGTTATTTCTAAGGAGAAATGTATATTACTATACATGTTTTCCTATATATATATTGCTATATTTGTTTCCCTTCCAGAACAGGTCTTCCTACCTGGAAAAACAAACAAAGCAGGGAAACTCAGGACAGAACTTTTAACAGCTAATTA